TGTGTGTGTTTGAGATATGGTTAATTATATAGTTAATTATAAAATTCAAAATAAATTTTTCATTGAGTTTAGAAAAATATTTATATAATTTTTCATATAATTTTATGCATTTATGATTTAATTTAACTGTATAATTTTTATATGTTTCCATATATCTTACCAGATCTATAAACCTTATGAATAGTCAATGTACTTTCATTCTAAGTATTCATTGTTTGTACTTCTGAAAATATCACAAGGTGCCTAACCTTTAAAATATGTCCAATAATATACTTTAAAGCTTCTTTTGTTTTAGTTCTTCTTTCATTAAACAACTAGTAAAACTTGTCATCCATTTTGAAAAACCTTTTGATATTCTAAAAGGTAATCTTATTTTTAATGAGTAGCCCTATAATGTCTTTAGAAAATTTATGTTCAACTTTTTAATTTTGGTCTGCTACACAGAAACCAGAACAATTATATACATTACTATAACTCAAATGGAGATTAAAATACTCACCTCATCTTTTTTAGAATGTCTAGATTTATTTTGTGGAATTTCTAAAGTTACCATCTCTTATTTTTCATTCTACTACAATAAAAATTAACTCAGAATGTATTCAAATGGGTTAGAAAATGTTTGTTCATCTTATTCTCTATTACAAAGGTAGATTGTTGTGATTTTTACATAACACTAGCTTTAGTGTTAACATCATTGCTTTATTCATATGACTTTATAGAGAAACTATATAATAAAATATATTTAAAACCAAACGATAATTTACCTTGGAATTAATTGCAATAGTCTTTAGTTTATCTGACTATAAAATAATTTCTATTTAGGGTATTATAGTGGTTTCATTGTCTTTTACATAATATAAAAACCTTTAGTTTTAAACTAAATTGAAAACGTTATAATTATTTACATTGAATCTAGTAAACAGGTGGTTAATTTCTTTGCCAAAACTATAATATGAATTTTAGTATGTGACATTACAGTTGTATCAATGTTTTTTATACATGGTGATAGATGGTGTTGAATTTCAATTTTGCATGATATTGCATCCAAAAGAGTTCTCTACAATTTACTGATGAATATATTATCTTATTCTAAGATAATTTCCTCTAGCATTTCCAATATTTGAACCATTTGTTCAAAGAATAATTTCACCATACCTTTTGCATTCACTTTTATTGTGGGTATAAACTATGTCATTTTCAAAAACCAATTCACAACCCGTGCTTGGGGGGAATTTTGTGATAAAGTTCATTATAAAAAGTTTCTATAGATGATCAAGGATTGGGAGGTTTTGTTATAAACCTAGTCATAACTTTCACTACTAATATATTTGGCATGTATTTACATAGTTTTGTATATTTTTATTTATATTCAGTCAATGATACTTTCTCTTGAGCAAACTTATAGTTTTGGGCACTTTATTATATCCTTTAAAAAGCCTGTCATGACACTTTTTAAAAGTTATTTTCCTTAGTTCCTCTTTTGAATATACACCCTCGTTTGTTTATAATAAATGAGTCCATTACATTTTATATAATCTACTTTCTCTTTATTGGGCAGCTTGTTTTATTAAAGAATATCTCATGTCTCTTTTTCCTTAGCAACACCTTCTATATTAATTCATTGTCCTTATACACTATCCACATATTATTCTAAAAGGTTGTTATTGTGTTAGATACCATCAACTCTAGACTTGCTTTCCGAATTATAACATTTGCCACAATATTGATCTTCTCTAACTTATGCAATCAAACTTAATTAAAGCATTAACCCACCAACCTTGTTTTCCCCAAATGTTAGGTTGTGACAAAAAGTGTTTTAATCTTACATTATCTATGTATACCTTGAAATGTTATGCTACCACTCTTCAAGCACTTTGACTATTAGGAGATAAATGCTATTTCCTAACCTTTCAAACTCAAATTCTCATCACCTTCATTGCACAAACTCAAGCTCTTCCAAATGCCCTAAATGTCATAACTGTTATTCACTCATTAGGCTTTTATACAAAGAGATGAGGATATTTTAGGAATTAAAATATTTTAAGTGCTTTAAGTTATATTTTGCATCCCAACAAGTGACCAACAACAAGTGAGTGAGTAAGCCCTAGGGAAAAGAGAACCCACAGCCTAGTTGTAAAAATCATGTTGTTCAAACACCCAAAAGAGAAAAATGCAAACAAAGAAAGAAAAATAAAATAAAAAACCAAAAGAAAAGAAGAGAAATAAAAAAAAAGAAATAAAGCAAAATGTAGTGTGAAATTTAATACTAGAGGAAAACCCAATAGGAAAAATGTTAAATGCAAACTAGACACTTGGAAAAATAAAGAAGAAAAAATGAGAAAAAAAAAGAGAAAAAGAAAGAGGTAAAGAGACCAAATGATAGCAAAAACTAAATTTTGATTATAAATGCAAGGTTTTCAAACTTATGGAATGTCACCCTCAAAAGTTTTAGTAATATGGTGATGGATCCCAATAGTGGTAAATGCTAAAGTGAGTGAAAGTGTGAAGGAATGAATGAGGCCAAGAATGTCATATCACTCC